CCCCCCAGTCTATTAGCAGATCTTCATTAAATTTTGGAAGGGAGTGTCTTATGGGGCAAATGTCTTTTATAATAGCACAGCCAACCCCTCTTTGTTTTCTTATAAATTTCTTCTTATTTTCTGGGGGAATTCCCCTTTCTGCCCCTCAGTCCATCTCTGCTGGATTTGTCAGGTATTCTATAGTGCTTTAGAAACAGTTTCAACTGGGACCTAAGTCTAATGTTTTCATGGGAAAATTACATGGGTATTGGAAGGGTACTATACCACTCTATACCTTGGTATTGTGAAGTTGGTTTTGTCCCCTTTCTGAAGGAGTCCTTTGTTTAGCATGTTTTTTGTTTACAGAAAATTGAGATTCTCAAAGGGTGTTCGGTGACCACAAAACACATGGTTTTCATTTCAGGATATTTTAGTTCTGCAATGGTGGGTCATGTTGAAACATGATGTGCAACCTTATCCTGTTCAGCAAAGCGTCAAGCACTCTGCGCTTGCCCTCTGTTTTGTGTTGATAACACCTGCTGAAGTGGGCACTGGACCAAGAGGAAAGGGTGTTGCATATCAGGGTTTTGGAGAATAAATAGGGCTGTGAAGTAGGCTGAACTGCGGCTCAGGATTCAGACGTCTCCTTGGAGCCTTGCAGGAAAATGCCTCGAGGGTTTGCTACTGACCAGGACCAATGGTGTGAATTCATAGGGCAGCGTGGAATTCAAGGTTCAACCTTGCCTGCTTGTACGTTATGTCTGCTTCTTGCCTGTATTGTCAAGTTCATCCAAAAAAGCACGTACATAGCTCAGTACATTTCTGAGTTGTTCCCATCTGACAGAATTAGCAGGGATTTTGCCCTTTGATTTGCAGAGGGGTTTTTTCCCTTCCTGCAGTCTGAGGCAGCCACATGTTTACTTTTGTATTAATTTTGAACAAAATGCTGTAACAGTAAAAGATTCATTAATGAAATACAGATTACAAGCAAATAGAGGATATGTAATAGTAACTGCATGGAGCTGTTTTTAAGCTAGTGTTATGTTTCTCGTGGTATTATTGCTGAAGTGATAAGCAACTGAAAACCAACCATAATCATTATGAAATTGTCTGGTGCCTGCTCCATTGGGGAGGGGTGTGAAGATTTCTACATTTTTGTGGAAGGCATGAAAAAAGCCAGTTGTTTTCTCCAATTTTTTTTTTTTTTTTTCAGGATCTCTCCTTTTTTAAAGTTTTTGGGATGTAAGGTTTAAGAACAGAACTCACAATATAGCAGGGTCTGGGAGTGTTGGGTAAAGGATGTGACCACCATTCCAATGAAAATCTACCTGAGGCCCAAAACAAATCTCATTTTTTCATTTGTTCAGGAGAAACTCAAGCTGACAAATCTTTCAGCTTCAAGCAGGCTTCTGTCTAGGACTCTACAATTCCAGATCTGGGTTATTTTTGCTGCATCTGCTTACTTGAATGGTAACTACAGGGATTGTGCAGCTTCGGTCCTCTCTGAGATTCTGCTGCTTGGCCCAGATTAACAGAGTGTCTGACATGAATGCACAGGGCCAAGAAGGGATGGGAGAATGAGGTCATTAGCAGAGGAATGACAGAAACTGGGAGTGAGATCTTGGGGACTGGAAACAAAGGAACAGTAAATGAGCCCTGAAGTGGTTCAGGTTTACAAGAATAGGACAGTTAGTCTGGCAAGAAGGTAGGGACTGAGTACCAGTGGGGTGGAGGTGCGCACAGAGGGAAGACTGTGAAAGGAGGAAAACTGGAGGTGGTGAGACAAGAGGTTAATTTAGAGGAAAGCACTTAAACCAGGAGGTAAAGCAGCCCTAAGACTGGGAGTGAGTGGTCAGACTGTTTCCTTGAGTATCAGCATGACATTTAACATGGTGAAAATGTGGCCTATACTTCGCATTTTTAATTCTTCTGAGCTCTTGAATCTAGAGATATCTAGCCTGACTTGCAAAAGTTCATAGCACTTCTAGTGCAGCTGATTTTGTTGGAGACTCTCTATATAGACTAGCACGTGAGTACCCTGGAAAATTCAGGCATCCTGAATTAGAAAGTATTTTCATCCTCATCTGTTGCACTTCCCTGTTATACACTGAAGTAACACAAAGATGCATATAAATAAACTCGGTGTTAAAAGCTGCAGATATTACAGCAGTGGGCACCACTGGAAAACTGTTCTTTGTTTTCAAAACAGATCAGATGAGTGTGCAATAAACCCTATGGGTATATTTATGATATTACATCAAAGCTGGTTATTTTTTATTGCATAATAGAAACTAAAAGATTTCTTCTTTTACTTAACTTTTAGGCAACTTTGAAGGAAACCCCTGGGGATTTTCTTACCTCATTTGAAATGTTTAATAGCACCTACAAGCTCTATACCCACAGGTGAGGAGCAAAAAGGCTGCTGTCTCTGCTGGGAAAATCAGTCTTTTTGCTTTCTGTAGCCCCTGAGCTAACCACAAATGGCCATGTCATCCTGTTACCGTTGGGACCATGACCTTTTTACTAGTTTTCTTATCTGCTTGAAACATTAGTTGAAGTGGAACATGACATTAGTTGACTGGAAATGTTCCAGGATCATGTTTAATATCACTGCAAGGGAATACTAGTCAGTCTGTCAGATAAAGAGGAAGCATGAGTCACTATATTTAAGGAGAAGAATTCTTATTATTGGATTCAAGCCAAATATTCTGGACCAAGCAGAAAGGTGGATAAAAGGAAAGTAGTCAGAACTAAACCTGGTCAGAGATTTGGAAAGAGGACCTTCCTGAGACTTTTTCCTTCTTAGTTCAAAATGGCACATCTCATCAGCAACAGGATGAAAAGTAAAACCTAGACTGATGTAAACCAAAGAGAGACAACCACAAGCAGCTGATACAGACCATGGAGCACAACAGATTCTTGAACCAATTGGAGGGGATATTTGGCCTGGAATAATATAATTGTGCTTACTGTGTTAAGCTAACAAGTTCCTGAGATGTCAGCAGTGAAATTCAGAGAGTTTACCTGCATGACTTACAGTCCAATGAGAACTTGACCGCGTATAATAGAGAGTTAGTCTCAGCCCATTACTAGTGGGGTGAGGATTATCATCTCAGTCAGTTAAGAGTATGCTTACTTGGCAACAGAGCTGGTTTAATAGCCCTCCTTCCCTGTTGCTTACAGTTACTGATGTAACTGATTGCTGTGTTCATCAATACAGTCTATTAGATCACTTAAAATAATTGGAATTGAAAAGCATCTCCGAAAAAAGGAGGGAGCTGGAGGTTAGTTTAACTCTGATTATTCTGTAAATGTTTGTATTGACATGACTAAAGGGATAAGCAGCCAAACAGAGGTGGGAATGAAAGGCCAACAGGTTTTTAATCTAGCTGTGTTGCTGAAGCCAGCAACGTGTAATGACATTCTTACAAATGTTGTTCACATCCTAGTTTGTAATGAGTATAGAAGTAATCCATGGAGTCAAACAGGTGAATTTCACACAAAGGCACAACTCCTATTTAGTGGGAGGTCCTGCAGTTCTCCTATTAGTTCTGCCCTAAGAGCACATAGTCTTATGTATATGACATAAGAATGGCCATCCTATTCCCCATGTGCTCCTCACATACCCTTCTTTCTCCCTTGTTTTTAAGACTGCATTTTTGCTTTTCATGAATGTCTTGTAGAAATGTCACATCAGCTCTAATTACTTTCTGCAGTTTTAGATTTACCCATTTTAGAGCTCTTTATAATTCTTGGGTTTGTGTCACTCTTTTGGTACTTGGAATTGGTCTGGCAAAGGGAACACTCTGTTTTAGAGAGGGGAGACTTGTGGGAAGTAGAGGAAGGAAATTTGGTTTGGGTGTTCCAGAATTTAGGAAGAGGTTATGGGTAAATTATATCAGATGTGCAAAAATTAAAACTGTAATGTCTGTCTTTTGTTGTTTCCAGCTATTTGGGGTTTGGACTAAAAGCTGCCAGACTAGCAACGCTTGGAGCTTTGAATATGGAGGGTATGTTCATATGATAAAACATCCAGGATTTTTAAGAGACTGTTAGACTTAAGTCTTGTGTCAGCAGCCCTTTTCCTGTGTCTTTGCTTCTGTATCTTGTGCTTTTCTATGTTTTCGCTGGTGTAATTCTGTCTGGAAACAGACTACTGCTTGTTAAGGAGTTGTCTTGTGAGACAGCTGCTTTTCCCTATTTCCAGGTTTGGCCAACAGTGAGACTGAGAGCAAATTCCAGAAATGTGCACATGGGAACATATCAAACACCATATAGATACGGTCAGCCAAAACCACACAGCTTTACAAGCATCCACAGAAACACAAACAGCACGAATCCTTTCCTAAGGATCGCTGCTTAGGCCAAACCCACTTTGCAGGTGTCTCTGATATCTGCCTGGCCCACCATGTTCCCCCAGACCTCCTGTTGCATTCACTGACTAGTCTAGCTTGAAGTCCACGAGTGTGTCACACACATTCCACTCAGTAACCTGAAGGCGTACTTGCATTCCTGAGTCTTTCCAGCCTCTGACCCAGACCTTAGGTCCTTCCAGTCTTCATGCCCAGACGTTGGGCCTTTTGTTCAGTCTCTGGCCAGGGCCTGGGCTCTTTCCACCTTCTGGATTCTCACTTGCCAGCTAGATGGACTTGTGTTAATCACTGGAATGTACTCAACTCAAAAACAGTTGGCAATGGGGTTTAAGAAGAAGGTAGGACAGGCTGCAGTGATTGGTCACAAGGCTCAGCCAGAAAAGCATACTGACCAGCTGCCTGCTTGCTCATGATTGCCATCTTCTCTTGTCCCTTCCATTTTCCCACACTTGCACTTCCCTTGATCCCTTGATTCCCCCTTTCCCTGCCTTTGAGCCTTCCCCTAAACATCCCATAGTAAATTTTGCACAGTCCCATAATCCCCCTCAACCATTCTGTAAGAAGTTTGCTTTTTCTGTGAGACCTATGCTGGCCACAATAATCATGTTTTTTTCTTACCAGTTACGGTATTTCTGGTTGAACTCTTCAGGGGTACATTCAGTGGATCCTGTAGTGGCCATTGATCAGTGTCTTAGGAGGTTTTGTCTTTGTTGCTCAGTTGCTTTGTTTCGGTTATCTGCTGTTCGTTAAGGTTTGTGTGTCTGTGTGTTTAATTAATTACCTCTTTTTTTTCTTGTCTTCTATGGTGAACAGCCATTATCCAGATATCCTTGTACCATTTGTCTCCCATTAACAAATGACAAGCCCAGCTGCTCTGCAGCTTGCAGGACAAAATGGACACAACTTTTCCAGACTGAGACTGGTCCTTAATTCATAATCAGTTTGTGTGGCATCCATCAATTCAGATTTCTGTACTTTTGCTTAAAGACCTTGATGAAGATCTTTCAGCCTCTTATTTTCTCGTTCTGCATATTGATAACTGTGTTGAATGTTGTCCTTTCTGACTCTCCCCTCTGGTTTCATTCCAGCTGTGGATGGACAAATGTTCCGCAGTTCTTGTTTGCCAAAGCAGCTGGAGGCAGAGTGGCACTTCGGGGGAGTGAAATACCGGTATGGTGGCAACAAAGAAGGTAATCTAAGGAGACTTGTTGCTTCTTGTAAGATAAGTCTTGTCTTAAGCTGTAAGAGTAGCTGGCCTGCACTCTCCATACTCTGAGATCACTCTCTGTGATCTCTTATTACAAATGCTACTTTTATAGGAAACACTAGGAGTTTGCCAATGAGAGTGCTTTTTCTGAGGCTTTGAGCTAAGCGCAAAAACTCTGGCTGTGTTAGGGTACAATAACTGGTAGGCCACAGTGTATCTCACTTGTGGAACTATTTCTTAAGATGCATCCCTAATGCTGCAGACAGAGGGTGAAGCTGCTACTGTCAGTGACTAGAACAGACCCCTTTGGTGACTGATGTTGCTTTGCTTTACAGTGGGGAATATGAGAGCTGAGTTGCAGATTTGGTGTGTGTGGAGTGGATTGATAAAACTACAGTGTGATGGAGAGGGAAACTAAGGTTTTATCTAGCAGGTGGTAGCAAATGTAAATGAGATTCTGCTGACCACAGAACATAACAATGGGAGTTTTGTCTGATGTGGAAGAAGCTTTTCATGCACCTATGCTAGTTTGTGCCTCACACCTTTCAGATACGTTGCTATGATCTGCTCTAACCAGTTCCACTTGCCTGCATGCAGGTGGATTATGAAGGGATATCTAAGTTCTTCTCACCTATTCTGACGCTTTAATCTCTGCTTCTTCCCTTTTTCATCCTATTGCCACTGATTCTTCCATTTCCTGGATATGCCTCTTTGGCTCACACCACCTGTGTTTGTCCTGACAGGAGAAACAGGATTCAAGCCTTGCTACTTGGAAGTACTCAAGGTTGTCAAAGGGAAACTGCACCAACCAGATGAGATTCGTGGAAGTTCTTTCTATGCTTTCTCCTATTACTATGATCGTGCAGTTGACACCAACCTAATTGGTAAATTGGTTTGGGATAATCTATTACGTGTGAGCATGTCATCCAGAAGGTAGACAGAGGAACCCTGGAGGCTGGAGCCATGGGGAGCAGGGAAAAGCAACGGTGTTGAGAAGGACGAAGTACACAAAATGCCTTCAGGGAATGATCTGTCAGTGCAGTTTGATGTTCAGAGTTCAGCAGATGAGACTTGCGCTCTGAGCTGCAGTTATACTTGCAGCTCTGTCCTCTGTTACCAACAGATAGCCCAGCATCATGGGCTGTGCTCTAGGGTCAACTTAGATATAGAACACAAATGCTTTCAGGTCTCTGATGTTTGCCCACCTCTTCTTTTTCAGATTATGAACAAGGAGGTGTTCTGGAAGTGAAAGATTTTGAAAGAAAAGCCAAAGAAGGTAATAGTCATGAGACTTGGGAAACTGGTGGGGATGAGAAATAACAAAACCATGAATGTTTATAGGCAGTACATAATGTGAGTTTGACTTTTTAAATGAAGTTTGTTTAACCTTTATTCCACTTACACCTTCTATGTCATGTTACTTAGCTTTTATTAGCCAAAACCTGTAACTGTTGCAGAAAGAAGTACTGAAGAGCAGTGAGGGGAAACAAAGTGTTAGTGGTTTTGCAGTTGTGTTCAGGAGAGGAGGGAGATAGTACATAAATGTCAGTACAACAGTGAATTTCCTGTATCAAGAGATCCTTCTGTCAAACTGCAACTCTCTGAGTTTAGGAGAGTGCCGACTTCTGTAAGTCTTTCACCTTAAATCCTTTTTAATCTCTAACAAAATGGAGGGAGAGAACAGAGGTTGTTTAAGTCTGACAGCCTCTTCTGCATTCCTTTCCCTCCCCCTGACTTTTTTCCTGAGTACTTGTTCTAGTTTTGTACCTCCTCCTGTGAAAAAAAGAGCTCCCACTCTGCCATACTACTGATGGCTAAAACTTTAGCTTACAGAGCAAGACATTTCCTCTGAATTGTGATCATCCTCATCATGATTAGTAGACCGTATTTGTCACCAGGAGATGCTTAATCATGTAGTTCAGGACTGACTTTTTTCTAAAATAGGACCTAAATTCTAATGATTTTTCAGTTAAACTTAATCTCCCTAGAAACTTAGATGGTTTTGAATAGGGGGATTAGGCTCTAAAGTTTGAGTGTGTTTGTTTTAGTTTGTTTCCCTGGATACTGAGAGAGCTTATTTCCAAAGATGCAGCTAAGATGTTATCTGACACCATCAAACCATTTATTTAGAGCATCAGGAGATCAATTCTATGATCCTAAATTAATGCTGCTCTTTCTCATGTCAGTAGGAGGAGGATGCTGCTTATCAGTTTCTAAAAAGAAGTGAACTCTGCTCTTGATGCTTGTAGAACAGGGCAGTAACAGTAGGACCAGAAGACAACACTTACTGTAAATCCCTTTCCCAGTCACTGTCACCCTTACTGTGGAATCTTAACTTAGCTGCAGTGAGGGAGTAGCCTCTTCCATGTCCTCGGACAGGTGTAGTTGGAAAAATATAAAAGAAGGTGCCAGCCTAGAGGGTGGAGTCCATTACTTGAGCCATCCTTGGACACCAGACAAGGAAGACAAATGATACTGTGTTCTTGAAAGACCAAGTAATAACCAGCTCTCTGCCAGTTATCAGCTGAGCAGAGATTCAGGCTTCAAAAGAACTATGTGGATTATGTATATATATTATATATATACTATTAAAAGATGTGAGTTAAGAGAAACTGGAAGTACTATATGGTTTATTCTCCAACATTACAGAACAGCTGTGTAGCATGTACCATGTGTCATATGTACCTGTTAATAGAAGTGGGTGGCTTGTTTTAGTAGGCTTTGGCCTGAGGTCAATTCAAATGTATAATGTAGATAAAAGCTCCATTATTTTGCTGAAATCCCTTTTTTTTTCCTTCCTTCTCTAGTCTGTGATAACATGGAGAGGTACAAGTCAGCCAGTCCTTTCCTCTGCATGGATCTCACTTATATCACTGCTTTACTAAAGGAAGGTTTTGGCTTTAGGGACAACACACTCTTACAGGTGAGAAAAACAGTTAAATCCCAAAGTCAGCTTCCAAATTTCTCTTATCAATCAGCATTTTTCTAGCTAGTTATCTACTGAGTCTTTCCAAGGTCATTACATCTAGTTGCTGTCATCTGTGCAACATACGAATCTAGAGAACTGTCGGGAACAGCTTCTTTTTCTTCCTTTATAGTTAACAAAGAAAGTGAACAACATAGAGACAAGCTGGACTTTGGGTGCTACTTTTCACCTACTGCAATCTCTGGGGATAACTTATTGAGCTGTGACATTCCTGTGGACTTCAGTATTTCTGAGAAGCTGAGAAAGGAAATTGAAATCTCCAGGTACGTTGTTCAGCTGGGGTTTGTCACAGAGCAGAGCAAGGACCAAAGCAATAGAACAGATCTTCACCCGGGACTGCCATCGTGCATAATGAGAGTGGCCACAGTATGATTTGTAATTGTGATTGATTGCCATAAATGATCCAGAAGCTGCCTTCTGAAAGTCACAAGACCTAAACTCCAGCGGAGTATCTGCAAGGGGCTCAAAGCCAGCTTTCACCAGCACATTTGTAACAAGTAGCATAGAGTACCTGGTATGTGGTTGTAGACTACAGACATGTGATTTCCCCTCCCCTTTTATTTTAAACGTACATAACTTAAGTTTGCTTGTGAGATGTTAAATACAGAAATTAAAGATGGCATCAACAGTCATTCAGAGAAATGTGAACAACTCTGGATGCTGGAGCCTCCACGTTCCAAGTACCTGGCTGTTAGCTTAGTTAACATGCTGCAAGACGACTCAGATCTTTCAAGAAGGGGCCTGCTGTAAGTACATTTTGGGCATGGTTTTGGGAAAGGTGTTGGCTAAAACGTAGGTTGTAGTTTACCGAGTGTCTCTTCAGGCAGCAGTCGTTTCCTAAGCTGAATGTGTGCTTGACTGTTTGTGTTCCTTTTTGCTGCCCTTTACAAATCTGTGCAGCTATACCATACATCTGGCTACCAGACCTGATAACTTGATTCATTTAGCATGTAGTCATAACACATAGTTGTGCTGGCGCAACTAGACAGCAGTGCCAGCTATTTAAACTCCACTGCCAAAAGAAATGCTTGTCACATTACACCCACAAGGAAATTAAGGGTGCAGTCCGATGAAATGGCTGATCTGATAGCTCACTTAGCTGTGAGAGGCAGTTCTGTTTCTCTGCTCTCAGCAAGGCACTCCTGCAGCCACCTTTCCTTGGATGCTGATGCTCCTCAGGTTCCTCAGTGAACCAATCCACAACACCAAACTGGAGTTAAATCAGCTCACCAAAGAGTCAAGCCTAGTGTTAGCACAAGGGAAACGGGCACACGCAGCCCAGAGAGACCTGCCAGGCCAGCAAGCTGTTAGACCACCACAGCCCATTTTGTCGGAGTGAGCTCTAAGGTGTGGTTTCTCAGCTGAAAGTTGGGGCTCATCTGTTCCTGAGCTCTCCTTAGGAACCTCCTCTAAATGCAGCGCTGTGGTGAAACAGGTTGTTTTTTCAGTTGTTTAATAGATGAAGATGGGGAGAGGGGAATTAGCATCAGAAATGGAGGGAGAACAAGAGCAGAAGTAGCTTTGCTTTTTCTCATCCCTTGTTTGCTTATTCCTTGTTCATTTTAAATTGTTTTAAATGCCATTTCTCTTTAATTCAATACAGTGGAGTTGGACCCATAAAATGGTGTATGCAGCCCTGCATTGCTCTGGAATTATTTTTATTATATACAGCAGGGCTTTAGGAACAGTGCATCCAATGAAGGGATTGCAGCTGTTTAGGAAGCCCAAGACTTCTGTCAGGATAGCATGAAGCTGTGTGAGTAACAATTTAAAGTGAATCTTGTAATCTCTTTTCACACCAAATACATAGAATCAATGAAAGATCAATATTTTAAATAAAGCATCTTGTCAGATAGGCTAGAAAGCTGGGCTGTAAGATCCTGGCTTTCTTGGTTTAATTGGCTGTAGAGAACATCAAGATTGCTCAAATGCCTTGAGGCTCCAAGTGTGGACCTTGCATTGTCCTATATAGAAACAGCTGTAGCGACAACTTTTTCCACCCCATGAAATAGGTGGCAGCTAGCTCATCAAAAATTAGTATCTCCTACTCACCATGGATTGTGTAAGGTAAAGATGAATTTACCTCAGTGGTAAGAACAAAGAGTTATTACTCATGTGACTAGGGGAGGCTTTTTTCCACTGATCTCATGACGAACGCTTTCCTGTCAGGCATTTGCAGTTACCCATTTGCTATAACACACCTTTCCCACTCCTATAAAACCAAATACTGCCCTCATGCTACCTTCTCTGCAAACTGGATTTGAAAATAATTGGTAATTCCCAGCAAGGGGAGGAAGTAGCACACTCCTGCCCTCACTAATCTTGCCAAGCAGTTTGGAGACTTAGAAATTTGCCTTACTGTGAGTCCGTTTCCTCTAGTTAGCAGCGCAAGCTTGACTGTGGCTAACCGTACTTGTCCCAGCACTGACACCTTGCTGCAAATTCAGGCTGTTTCATTGAAACATGAAATGCTCATCCTACCTGTACTCCTCCTTACCAGAATCTGTTTTGGGATCCGTGTTGGGAAATTTCTGTGTCACACCAGACTTCTCTTCATTCCTTACTAGGAGCTTCGTTCTGAACATGAAGAAAGTAGTTGTGGCCTCTTCTCAACCACAAACATTTCTTACTCCCCTTCCTAGTGTTTGGCAAAACTTGGTATGTGGTCTAGTCTGTGCAACAAGGTGACTGTAAATGCAACCATTTTGTCTTTGAACAATTGTATTCACTTTTGTATTCTCTGAGAACATGAAGTGGGATGCAGCGGTTACTAGCCAGGCTGTGTTACTCCCGAGAACTAGCTGTTTAATAATGCAAAAGTCTTCTTTTGGTCTGAGCCAGTGCTATGACAAACTCTTGCTAGATCTTGAGGCTAAGAGCCATAAGCAGTGAGGCCGTATTTGAAACGGGAAGGGAACATAAGGAACAAGCAGCAGCAGGTTATCTGCCAACTGAACAGATGCTAGCCCTGAGGAATACTTACAGGGTTGAGTTTTGTCTGAAGGGAGTGTCATGGATTCACCAGGACAGGGAGGATGGTCTAGAACAAGACAAGTACCATGCAGAGAAGTTTCTTTTCTGCGTTCTTTGCCTCAGACTCAGCTACTACAAATCTAGGTGGGAGCACCTGCTCGCCAGTACCAAAGTTGCATTAAATCTGAATGCTCAGGGCCTTCCTTTGTCAGTGGCACAATTCATTAACTAAAGCAAAACTGCTGCTCTCTATCAGGGGCTTGATCCTGCAGTCATGAGAGAAACCAAAACTCTGCTCAAAGGTTTCTTTTGTGAGAAATTGCAGAATTGAGCCCCAGCTGTTTACATCTGAACTACTCAAGGTGGGTGGGGGATCTAGAGAAGCCAGTCAAGTCCTCACACTTACCCCAGTGCAATGAAATTATTTATTAGCTTAACTAAAGACTAAGCAGCCTTGTAAGAGAAGAATTCTACTTGCAGCCCTGATTTTTTCTGTCTCCTCCTTCATAATGTCTTTTAGCCAGTCACTAACAGGAACTGTCTCATATGAGTGACTGAAGAGAAGCACAAGTAATAGCTTTCAGTTTAAAACTTATCTTTCGTTCCTTCTGATGTTAATTCGTGATACTGGTCAACCACATATGTACATCTTGTCCATGGACAGTGCTCACTTAATTTTGTGAGTGTCTAATGCAGGAGGACAGTGTTTGGAACCTAAGACAGAATATCTTTAATGTCTATTTTAAAAATTAAAGCATTTTTAACAATATTCAAGACATTGTGGTGCAGTTTTCTTTCCTAGATATTATTGTTGTCTTGCATCTCTTTTTCATGGAGCCCTTAAGACTAGCCAGTTCCACAAGAAACGGCATTAATAAAGCACCAAGAGAAGGGCAGGGAAAAGGGTGAAAGAAAGTGAGGCAGATTAGAGCTTTAAAACATGTCTGCCACCATGAGTTGTCTCCCTCTGCTGAAAACTACCCCTTCTTTCCAAGTCTATGAAGTGCTAAGAACCCAGGAGTCACATTACAGCTCTAGAAACCATGTCAGAGAAAACTGAAAGTAATTAAGAAGCAAAAGTTGTAGCTGGCAAACTTCAGCACTGCATTTGCCAAAAGACAGACAGCTGTTTCCACCTCAGTCTTCAATTCACAGAATCATTAAGATTGGAAAAGACCTTTAAGATCATCAAGTCCAACCATCAACCCAACACCACCATGCCCAATCATGTCCTGAAGGGCCACATCTATATGTTTTTTGAACACCTCCAGTGATGGTGACTCCAACACCTCCCTGGGCAGCCTGTTCCAATATTTGACCACCACTCAAAAGGCCCAAACCTAAAGCACATAGTACAGATAGTTCTGCAGCTGAAGACATCATGGTACTATAGGAAGAGACCCTAAAACCTCTTGAGGAGAGCAGATGAGACAGAACTTTCACATAAACCAGTGGATGATGTAATACATAGCTCAATCCCTCAGTTTTATTGTTAAATTAAAATAACACAATTCAAAGATTCAAGTCAGTCACAGTCCTTATAAGGGCAATGCATTCACTGGCATGCTGCTGTTCCAAACTGACAACAGATCACTTGCTGGCAAATGCCATGATTTGCTCCTAAAAGAGAAGAAAAAGATAAACAATTGGCAAACTGGCAGTACGCATCCATTCTAGAAAGCAGCTGTAGTCTCCCTCCCTTTTATATATATGGACAACGGTTCTTTGTCAGCCTTTCTATCCCTGTACACTAGAAAATTAAAGAAGTTGCAGCATTCGTTTCCTTCCCCAAGTAGCGTAAAACAGAGTTGTTACCAACAGGTTCTGTGCTCAGAAAGAGAGGTCTTCATTTGCCTTTCTGCTTTAAATGGAGCACTGAACCAGCAGCATAGTCCTCTTTTTAGTGCAACTAATAAAGATGCCGTGCCAGTGGCAGCTACTACACCTGAGGAACTTACTACTCTTCAACTCGGGTAGTGTCTTAACTGTGACGATAACACAAAGGAAACAGGACACCTGTGTTTAACAGGAAGAAGGTGACTTGATTTGTGGAATAAACCATTCAAATCCAGAAATGAGGAATCTAATTTGAGGGTAGGTGGGAGATTTGAGAGCAGGTGGCTTAAGGAACCTCATGAAAATCCAGAAACTTATCGTTTCAGAAACTTATGGTGCAGAATTTAGGCAGACAGGCTGCAAATAGAGGGTCTGTGTTTAAGACCAAACCTCCTCACCACTGGCTTCCTCAGGTAACTTCCATTATAGCGACTTCCACTTCTGCCATGAGGGAACAATTTCACAAGGCAAAACAGCACAGAAACAGGTAACTCATTTGAGCTGCACACCACACCTGATGTCTTTCCTTAGCAAAGATCTGTCTTCATAGGGCTGTGTTTTCGTAGTGCATTTCTGGAATGCAGTTCAAGGTTCCACATTTTCATTCCATAGCATAATAAAGCCAATGACTTCTAACCCCTAACTAGTGTTAGGGAGTACAGAGACTTAGATCCCTTATCTTCCCTTGTGCTGCAGGAGAAAACAGTTACTACTGAGTGGCCAGTTATTTAGGAACTCCTCAGGCTCATTCAGGGGACAAAACC